TCAAAGCCCCGCCCCTTAACACCATCGTTTAGCCCCACCCCCGCAAAAGCCACTTCCATTATTGCGCAGTGAACGACTTCCGCCGGGGCTAGGCTAGTAGTATCTATCTGTCTGTCTGTCTGTCTGTTTGTCTGTCTGTCTGTCTATCTATCACAAAGCTGAACAGCTTTAAGCTCCCCAGATTAGTCCACTCCTTTCCCCTATTGAGTAGCACTTACAGTGTCCATATCTAACTCAGAGACATTAGTAGCAGAAAGAATAAAAACCATTTTTTCCTTACAGTAGTGAAGAGAACAAACAACAAACTGACAAATAGAACTCCTTTCAGCAGAGTTCAAAAGACTCATTGTTCCTAATAGACTAAAGAAAAGAAAAGAGCACTGAGCAGAGAGGCGGGTCTCCCTTTGTATTCAGAGGTAGGGAAGGAATTATTCATTAGGGCTGGATAGATGGACAGCCACCTCAGCCCAGAAACATCCCTCCCTGCTAAAGGCAGCATGCCAGGTTGCAAAAACTCCAACAAGGCATGTGTGAAGATCAGTTCTGATTGTGGTGTTTGTACAAAGATGTCTCCACAGAACTCAGTCCTGCTATCTGCCTCGAATTGGCCCTTTAATGAATAATTGTCTCAACTGAGCTATAAAGAGTTACCAGTTGAGTACATGTCTGTCCAAGCATCCATGGAATTTTGAGAGGAAAAAGTTTTAAAAGCCACAGTGATGAAGGAGAAATAAAACTTTAAGCTGAAGGATGTGAGTCTGAATAATTTATTGGTGGCATAACCTTTAAATTCAGGACATTTCAAAAATGCATTTCTGCATAATTAAGGGCAATTTTCTTCAAGATAGCACATAATTAAAAAGGAAAATTCAGTTGGGGTATATTTAGATGGTGATGAAATTAGTTAAATGCATATCAGACTGCACCTGCTGCCTTTTCTAATATGAAAAGTAGGGATTTACATTCCTTTCAGGCCCTGAAAAAAAATTAAAATATTAACTGTGATGGAAGATATTGCCATGCCTAATGAACCCAAGAACTTGTACAAATCAAAGAAGTGAACAAAAGAAAGACCTCTTGCTTTAATTCATAGCATCTGACATATTTCTGAAGCTATTGAATTTGGACATGTACGTAATAAAGTCAAAATTTCCTTCTGTTTTGTACATTAGCAGCCATGAAAGCCACAATTCCCTATGTGCCCTTCAACTAGCTATTTTCCTTTCCCATTTAGCATCTTTCCTCCATATCCGTTCACACCCTTTCACTCCATCAGAGTTTGTCTTTAGAAATGTTTCACCACAGTAAACACACAAAATCACTAAAATACGCTCCTAATTGGTAATGGATTCTAATTAACATCCTGTACATGGGCAGGTATTTAAAGATGGTCTCCAACTTGGGATCTCTTCTGACACTACAATTCTGTATATCTGTGAAGATTCTCAGTCGCCAAGTGAGGTTATCTGGAAGATGAGTCACAGCGACTGGACTTCTTTCTTACTAGGTTAAAACGTTAACTGAAGAAGGTACTTGGATGAGTAGCATTTCAACCTAATAAGAAAGAAGTCCAAACTGAAGGTACTTGGATGAGTAGCGTTTCAACCTAATAAGAAAGAAGTCCAGTTGCCATGACTCAACTTCCAGATAAAATTTTGCCCTTGTTGCCCCCTCTTACTTCCAGGAGGAATTTTCCCGTTTGGCATTTTTTAAAAAAGCGATACAGTGCATATGTGCTGTCCTAATACACTTTTTAAAAACAAAAATCACTTCCTCAGCTTTTCCAAGGAGCCAAGGAAAACCTCTTCTAACTACAGATATTCCCTTCTCCTGGCAGAATTGCTTTTCTTCTGATAGAATCCCTCCTTTTTAAATTTCAGAGACATGCCTACATATCAGACCGGGAGTGGTAGTCCAAAAAAAGTAACTTTTCCATGCTCTACATGCCTACATAATTTCAGAGACATGCCTACATATCAGGGAGTGGTAGTCCAAAAAAGTAACTTTTCCATGCTCTCTGTTTTGACACGTATGTTCTAGCTGAAGTAGAAGTCTGTGACAAGTAATAATGTTTCCTAGAACATCATTATTGTATGTCTTTATCTCTCTTTTTCCTCCTCCAGAGATAATCCATACACCACTGAAGAAGCGCATCAACAGTTTATGGCAATTTATCACACTATATTCATTAAAGAAAAAGCAATCTTGTCAGGTATTCCTGAAAAAAGAACAAACGGGTAATTCATACTTTCATTTTCATTTTGTATGCAAGCTTCCAGGAAGGATAAGCAGACAATGATAACTGAAGGTTGTTCATTGGCACCACATGCCATTGAACGGTTCCAAAGAACATCTTGGAACACAAAGGTTGGTAGCTAGTGGCAAATCCATTTTCTGCTTGAGCAAAATATCTGTTTGTTGTTTCAAAGAGGTGTGCCCAAAATGTATTTTCCCCCTCAATCCTGGTTAGAACTGAATCCAAATGTACTGAAGGTCTCATAGTCTTTCACTGGATGCGGCTAAAATTAATCAATTCTATGTAACTAGCTTTTAGATTAGGGCAAACGAAGATCCAAGCAGCAAAATGAGAATGCAGTGCAACAGCTGAGAGCTATCTGCAGCTTATCAAGACTGTCCTTCCATTAACAGGTTATGGAATGCTCTCCGTTAGGAAGACAGGTTGGCCCACTCCCTTTAACCCTTCCACTTACAGCTGAAGACCCACCTTTTCAGGCAGACTTTTAAGAATCATGGCTGAGTCCCTGAATGCCATTTTTTTTGGTTAATATAGTTTTTAATGTTTTATCTGTTTTAATTATTCAACGTATTTTAATGAGTTTCATAGTTTAATAGTTTTTTAAAGTATAGCTCACTATTTTTTTTAATTCTTTTTTTCTTAATACAATGAGCCACCTTGAGTCTCCCGATCAGGAAAACAAACAAACAAATTAATTAATTAATTAATTAATAAGAAACCCACAGCCATACAAGACAGAAAATTAACAATATGTTCATAAATGAAGAAGATCTGGAACAATTACATACCAAGTAAAGTATTAGCTGGCTGGACACTATATGTTCTTAAATGAAGAAGATCTGGAACAATTGCATACCAAGTAAAGTATTAGCTGGCTGGACAGCTCAATAAGTTAGGTACCTGGTTGTGGATGTTGGGAGTTTGATTCCCCACTGTATCTCTTGTCAGGAGACAAGCCAACCCGACTAGCCATGGGCAAGATACACAGTCCTAGAAGTGCCCTTAGAAGAAGGGAATGGCAAACTACTTTTGACTACTCCACATCTAGTAAACCCTGATAAGGGCTGCCCTAAGTTGGAATTGACTTGATGGCGCACAATTGCTAAACCATTGTTAACAAAATATCAAGATAATGACAAATATCAACAACATAATATATAAATAGAATAAATATTAGTGCAACAGAACAGTTAATAAATGCTAAACCATTGTTAACAAAACATCAAGATAATGACAAATATCAACAACGTAATATATAAATAGAATGAATATTAGTGCAACAGAACAGTTAATAAATAATTTCCATCTTTAAAAAAAAACAGAAATAAGACACAGCCATTCACCTAGCAACTGAACAGCAGCAGCAGCAGCAAAAGAGTATAGAGGAGAAAGTAGGAAAGTTTTAGAGAAACCAGTAGCCAATTCTAAGTGTTGCCAGGAAGAAAATATCCTCTGGTTCAGGTGAAAAGGATCAGAGTTTGTTCCTTTTGTGATGGTGGGCAAAGCAGCAATTCAACAAGCTGTTTTGAGGCAGGGCTTATCCCAGGTGTTGCTACAAATAGGCGATGATGATCAGAATAGAAGATGCTCAAACCATCCAGAAATCATTATCTACAACCTTTTATGTAGTTTAGACAGTGCTTCCCAACCTTGGGTCCCCAGATGTTCTGCGACTGAATCTGTAAGAATTCCAGAAGCTGGAGATGAAGGATTCTAGGAGTTTTCGTCCAAGAACATCTGGGGACCCAAGGTTACGAATTGTTGGTTTAACTTTAGAACATAGAACCAGACTATTCCAGACTATTGGAGCAAGGGTGCTTCCTTCTGTGTTGCACTCTCCAGTGTCCATCTTTAGAAAGCACTGCACAGTGAAGCTATAGGGCAGCACCAGAAAAGACATGGGGACAAATTTAAAAATGAATTTGGATATTCGTTAAATATCCCTGATCCATCAGATATTTGTTGCTTTATATGCTTGGGTTCCAGAGACCCCAACGAATACGAAGCAATGAATATAACCCTTTGATATTCATCCTGTCATTCCCTATTTGCTTACACCCCCGCGGATCACCTGTCCCTCGGGGGCATAAGCAGAGAGGGTTTTTCCCTTCAGGTGGCTTGAGAAAGCCTGCCTGAAGGGAATCCCACCACCGTCCTCGGGGGCATAAGCAGAGAAGGTTTTTCCCTTCAGGTGGCTTGAGAAAGGGGCTGGGGGATGGCTTGGTTTCCCTTTACTCCTCTTCCTATCCCCGCATGGCATAAGAAGAAGATAGAAGGGATCAAAGAGGGATCACCTGCATGGCATATGAAGAAGATAGAAGGGATCAAAGAGGGATCAAAGGGATCCCCCAACCACTGCAGGATTGCTTTGATCCCTGCATTCCCTCCTCTTGCTATGCTCCAGTGCATAGCAAGGGGAGGGAAAGGGGGAAAAAAAGACCCCACGAATGACAAATTGATTTGTTGTTCATTGGGTTACTGGGGGGCAATTTGTGGGTCATGAACCATCTCTACATCAGAACCAAATACTAATGTTGGGATAGCATTGGTGTGAAATGCATTGGGATCAATACACAATTTTTTTCCTCAAAATTCCTGAAATAGAAGTGGGAGGTTGGGGAGGATGAGAATTTGTAGATCTCAGACGTTTGGAAAAGGAATTGTTTTACCTTCCAGCTTGGTTTTCCACCTGCTTTTGTCACAAAATATGGTAATAAGTCCAGGAAAACTGATCCTTATATATACAGTATATGGATAGATTATAACAGAGAAAACATGCTGAGTCCCTGAAAAGTATCTTTCCTTCAGGTGACCTCAGTTGTCCAGCACTATAGGAAGGGTGTGTATGAAGTATCTGTTGAGGAATTTCTGCTCTCTTCACCCACCCACCCCATACTGTCTATGGAGCACAGACTGACACTTATATTTTTATTCATTTATCTATCTGTTCAAACATGACATTTTCCAGGGAATCAGCTCAAGTTCTTCTGCAGCTGAGTCCTGACAGCAGGATGTGAACAAGATCAGAAGTAGAACAGCCACGTTCATTAGTGAGGCCTTTCATGTGTAGGATTAAATAAATCCTTTGTTTTGCTTGCCTGAGAAAATAGTTCAATTTTTCTGTTATCCCAGCACCCTTTTAAATATGTGTCCTCTTGATTTTGTACCATTTCTGATTCCTTTTACTTATAGCTGCCACTGACATTTCTGAGGAATTTTGAGAGTCCCCAAGTGATTCAATAACACATTTTTTTTCTTGAGGCTGTCACCAAAAAGTGAGCAGTAGAAGAAAGCTGAGAGGCTTCTCTTCAAGTTAAAAAACCTGATCCGTCTCGCAAAGCAAAATTGTTTCTGTAAGCCTACCTGGTATTTCTCACAGGAATATCATCCATCCTTTCCCACCAGATGTTGCAGCTCAAAATAAACCACGAGGAAATGTGGACCACTGATAGGTTTACTTCTCTTTGCTTTGGGGAATTAAGATTATCCTCATACTCCATAACTGCATGAATAGTTATGTGATATTTAAGTGATATTTAAGCATATGATGCTAATTTTAATAATGGTGAGCGTGCTGCCCTCCAGATGTTATTGGTTAACAAATTTTATAAGCACCAGTTGGTATAGCCAGTGGTAAGGGAGGACTGGAGTTATAATCAAGCAACATCTTAAGGGCCATGCACACAGCAGCCAGGAATTATGCAAACAGATATTGTAGTTAAACTTTCCTAATTATGACAGGCTGGAAATTACCCTGCACTGAAATAGTGTAGTTAAAATTCACCTTTCCTCCATTTTCCTTCTGCCACTTCAATGTATTCTTCCCCACTTTTCACTCATACAGTTCCATATATAATCCAGTAATGCCTATTGAAAGAACAATAACAAATAATTATTTTGCATAAGGAAATTTATCTCAAATATTCTGTAACCCCAGTAGTTCCATTTTATTGTGAAGGCATACACTCAGTTTCCTGTATTCTTAAATTTATATCCCGCCTAACTGGTCTTGTGACAGAATGTTCTTCATTACTACCATATTATTGAAACAGCCCATATCAGCACTCAGCAAGAACAAGATGTCTGACTTTACATGTTAAATGGCCTTTGCCAGGAAAAAACAAGAGGCTTAAAATTGGCTTCTCATCTGCACATTACCCTTTGGTTCTGCTACCACAAGAAGATTCCCACTGTGGTGTGGTGGACAGAGTGATGGACTCTGGAGAACAAGGTTTGAATCCCCACTTGGCCATGGAAACTCACTGAAGGACAGAATTGGCAAAACAATCTCTTAAATATCTCTCTTACTTTGAAAGGCCTATTAGGGGCAATCTAAGTCAGTTCTGACTTGACAGCACAGAACACAGACATGCCACAAAAAGTGTAGAAACCTGACTGGGGTAGAGGGGAGGGGAGGTGCCCACTCATGTCCTGCACGATTTTAATGTGACAAGACCTGGCACAACAGAAATTGAAAAGAAGAGCGATAAAGTTGCCCATCCTCAGGATACTGGTTGAAGTGTTGGCAAATTGCTCGATTTTCCCGAGTCCCCAGACAGGGAGACAAATCTCAATGTGAGCAGCGTTGGAATAAGTGGAAGTCTGATTTTTGTGTCTGAGGTATGTAAAGATGAGGCTTTCCCACTGATTCCCAGCTGAAACCAAAGACTATGGGCTCAGTACAAAGTTTGTACATGTGTCGGGCTCCCTCTACTTTTCCTTGGCCCATTTCTAATATCGTAAGAACCCATTTTGTGACATCAGAAGAATCAATCCATATCTTTTCATGTCACAAAGACCCAACTTCAGAGACTGGCTGAAATCCTTTTGCCTAACCTAGTAAGCTGCAACTAGAGTAAGCCCCATTTGAATCAGTGGAACGTAGGAAAGAGTTGATTCTCCAAATCCCCACTGATTCAATAAGGCTATTCTACTTGCTACTCTAAGCAACAGGATTTCAGCCAATGAGATGCTGCTCACTTGGCAAGCCTCTAGAAGGGAGAGCTGGAAAAAGGATGTGAGAGCTGTACTTTGCATATCTGTTTAGTTGAAAGTGCTGGATGCAGACTGCAAACCTCCATTTAATCATTAAACCGCAATAAATGAGGACTGCTGACTGCCTTCTTTTCTTGATTACTTGGCAACTGCTGGGCTGATCTGGCAGAAGAACTTTCACAAACCAAGGTGCCGATCTTAAGAAAATATCACTGAAGACTCAGAATCCAACTGTGATGGGGTTTTGATAATTATTTAAATTATTATTTGAAAAAGGGAACGTGTTGCAAAAACAACCCTGTATTTATCAACCATTGCCTACATGTCTCGTATTCTTTGCGAATGAAATCCTCTGCATCGGGGAATTTTATAGGCTTCTGCCTTATCGCACATGATGAAAAGGACCCCGAGGATAGTAAATGACTGGTACCAACAACAACAACAACAACAAAAGAATTCAGGTGCAGCACTGGTGAGGCTGTAGCTCAGATCTAACAGTAGGGCTGATAGATTGGACAACTGCATTGTAGATTGTTTTCCTTTTCAGGTTCTTGGGAGAAAACGTACACATTTGTGACCATTCACATCAGTCAGTATTATCTGGCAAACAGAAATATCTTGAAAGAAGATGAGTGTGACCTTTCTTTCTTGGGAATTTATCATTTAAACTTTAATCAAGCTCCATGTTTACAGAAACAGGACGTCTAGGGTATTGTAGACAGAAAGTCAATCTTTTTGCTTTTAGGAAGGAATCCAGTAAATTGCAGCACTTCAGGTTCCTTCCTCCCCCCCCCCTTCTTCTTTTGAATAGAAAAGTAAGTTTTACAGATCAGTGAATGGGAGAAATATTTTAGTAGCTTAGGCTTTCTTCCTTGCTGATGCACCAAAAATCCCTCATTTTAATAGATATTTTGAATTACTTTTAAGTGCCACTATGCACTCAAGAGTAATTTTGCTTACAAGTGAAGTGAGGATCAATGCAATTAGCTAATAAGATTATGCACATGAACTGCTAAAGCAATATGGTGTATGGGAACAAGAGAGAGACATACCGGGTTGAATTTATTGTCTGATTCAACATCTCAGTTATGTTGTGGGGAGGTTTATTTGTTGTTTGTTGCAGTTCTACTTTTCCTTCCTGTCCCTCGCAAAGATTAGATGCTTCTGATGAAACGAGTACGGGATTATTTATCCAAAATGAGTGTGTTTAATAAAACAAAACTTTACTCTTCTATCATCAGAGCCACAACTCAACACAGCTTTATGGAGAAAAACATGAATTTACTGTCAAGAGATTCTCTATGCAAAGGAAGGTTGGAAAAGGAGACGTGCCATTTGGAGACCCACGAAACATAAGCCACTGTAGGATGGATGGGAGCAAAACCCAAATGGCTCTCTTTATGCGGCCAGAAGAAACCTTTTAGTTTCTTTCAAGCTCCCCACAGTCTTACAGAATCATATTCTTTTACGTCCTTCCCATCAGTCTTTCAGCCTACTTTTCTAGCAGCACATATATGCTCCTCAAAAAAAGTATCATTCCAAAACAGATTAAATAATAGTGTATAAGGAACCAATATTGGCAGGAGAGGAGGAAAAACAACTGTCTTCCCTTTCTCACTTGTGGGAAATGTTGTAGAGTTTTGAATTTTGGTAACATTCCTCTAGCTGCACAACAGAAGAACAGGGACTCACAGAGCAGAATAGCTTCAGGTTGCCTTGTTTAGTTCACCCCTTTCATCATATTAACTGGTAATTGTAGTCTCAGTTACTTACTCTGAGACATTAGTAAGAGAAGGAATTGAAGGTTTTATTTACTTACAGTTGAACAAATCAAACAGCAAGCTGATAAAACATGGTTGGCTGACTTTCAGCGACAGGCCTCAAAAGATTCACTGGTGGCTGTCAACAGACTAGTGAGGGGAAAAGGCACTGCAGAGAGGCAGGACTCTTTGAATTTAGAGGCAGGGAAGGAACACTTGCTTAGTGCTGGATAGATTGACAGTCCCCCCAGCCCTGAAAAGTTGCTTCCAGCCACATTTACTAGAGGCAGCATGAAAGGTTGAAAAAAATGCAACAGGTAAGAGGGCCAATTGCAACACAAAAAATTGATGCCTCCCAGCCATTGCTCCCTTTCCATGTGTCTTGTATATTCAACAGGAAAGAGGGCCAATCAGAGGCTGCAACACAAAAAATTGATGCCTCCCAGACATTGCTCCCTTTCCATGTGTCTTGTATATATTTATTTAATTCTGGATAATTCTTCTTCCATTTATAATATGTTACAAATACAGTATAACAAGAGTCAGTCTAGTGCAGTGCTACTTTTGAGACTAGGACTCAGGAGATATGAGTCCTAGTCCAATTATCCCCATTGAAATCCCCATTCTACCTCAAGCTCTCTGGGTGATCTCTCTTGCCAGTCACACCCTTTCACTTTGACCTACCCCACAAGGGAAGAGGAGAACTGTGTCTGTTGCCTTAAACTCACTGGAGGCAAAGGAGGATACAAATGTAGTAGATATAATACTCCATGCATCTAATGAAGCAGGCTGCAGTCCATGAAGTCAGAAATAAGAATTTTCCACCTTTATACCTGCTTAAAAAACACACACCTAGATATAACAGAAAATGGAATCTGATCTAAGTGAACACAAAGCATACATTTTACCAACGAGGTATGGCTCATCCCCCTCGCACGGGCAAGCCCCTGATGACTTCTACCCTGGGGAACCTGGGGTGCCCCCAATGCATTTTCCAGCCATGTCAGAATTCTTTTGGCTTCCCTGAAGTTCTTTAGATGGTTTGTTCAAAAGTGTACACAACTCCTTGAAAAGTCTTTTCTGCCTCTTAACAAAATTCATTGGGCTTACCACAGAATTCCTCAGGTGCATTTCCTCAGGATGAACTCCCAATTTGCTTCAAATTATAAGTGAAGTGTCTGTGGCCAGCCTAGCTTCCTCAAAATACTCATTAATGAAATTATATCTTGGTTCCTGAAAGTGGTAAGATTAGTTTCCTCTAAGGGTAGCATTCTGTTTCTCTCCCTGGTCTATAGGGTACATGCCTGTGATTTCAGCAATGACATCATGACCAGTGAAGATTCTCACAACATAGGATTCTACTTGAATCGGATGAAAACCCCTCGTAAATTGCATTTTGGCTCTCCAGAATTCATAGGAAAGTTGCAAGGGCTTATAAAGACACTCACAAAAATGTAAGTATTAAATACAATAATAGCCTTCTGCCCTTTCCTCTTCTGTATGCACTCTTTCAAAATACAACATGAACTAGTACAAGAGGCTAGTAGATATATTGTGACGGATCCATGCTCCATATTGCTTTGGGTTACTTTCCATGTCATCTCTCCCTGATAGCTAGTCCTTCAATTTCCATTTGTAATTTGAAACAGGAATTTTGAGTTAATCTCAATTAATGAAGTTAATAAATGTGCTGCCATTTCATTATAAATAACTGAATTTTGGCATTTGGATTGAATATTTTACACTTGTCTGTAATCCTATGACACTTGGCATAATGTGAACTTACACCTGGAGAGGTTTGCAGAAGGTTACACCTATGTAGTCCAAATGTCTAATTGGGTAACTGCTTTGGACATACAATAAGAACCCCCCCCCAACCACTGGATGAACATCTACTGATTCACTTATCCAAAGTCTGAGAGCATTAAAAATATACAAGAACAATCATAGAAATATATACTTCTAAAGACAGGGCTACCAGAACTGCCTCCAGGAGGGAGCCAGAGACCCATGTTATGTATAACATTCACTATTAAAATAGTGTTTGCTATAATCCATGGTTTTCAGAATCTGCAGTAGGGTTTGGAACCAATCCCCCGTGGTTACAGGGATCATACTGTACACATATTTCCATGGTGTATTTACCAGAACTAGCCACTAGGACAATTCTATATGAAGCGTTTGCAACCTCCATGTTTTTCAGCTTCTGTGGTGGGGCTTGGCACCGATCTCCTGTGGATACCATGGCCCTACTGTATTATGTCCATACACTTTTATTTTGATTTGTTATTTTTTCTTTTTATTATTTCCAGAGACAATTCCGTCGCACTCTGCTATTATCTCTCTCTCCCTTCCCCCCGCCCCAAAGCTGTCTCTCTGTTTGTTTGAGGCAAATGTGACCATGGGACCTATATGGCTGCTATCACCACTTTAAAAAGAAGTATTATGTCCAGGGAAGGTTCTGATCAAGGTTGCAATAGTGGGCTGTGTCCTTAGCCATTTGTCAATAAAGCAGGTACTTGCATATTTTTCTCCTGACATGCAAATAGTGGTTGCATCGGAGTAGCTTATATTAGGAAAATAAAATGGTCGTACGTTGCCATCTTTGTAGCTGTCGTTTTAACCTTTCAGCGCGAAAAAACAGCAGGAGATCCCATTCCAGGTTTCATGCAGATAACCTGCAGTTTTTCCCTCACAGGAACAATTTTAAGTCTGAAAAACCTTGATGAGGTTGCACAGTTATTGGTACAAAGTTTCCGTGTGATCTTTTGCTCAGGCTTTTGGGGAATTGATTGCATATTTTAATGAAACCATTTTCATGGTACTAATTGCGTGTTTTAGTTGACTAGTTTGGGCAGGTTGCTTGTGTTTTATTGTCTTACCTAAACCACCTTGTGCATATTTCTGGGTCACAAATGGAGAAGACAGTAAATAAATCAGTAATTAAGTATGACTGTGCATCAGAGATTCAACAATATATCACACAGCCATGCCGCCTTGCTCATCAAGGAACAATTTAGCACTGAAAGTTGTGATGTCAGAGATATAACAGTGCCATAATTATTCTACTGCTCCGTTCACCTCCTGCAGGTCACTCTTCTAACACCTGCATTGCATTGCAGGTTATTTAGCAACCTGTAATTTTTGCACAGTTCTCTCTCCTTTTTCTCCCTTGCTTTAACTGACAGAATGATCCCTATTTTTATGCATGCTAGTTATGTTGCACGGTTTAATTTCCAAATGTTAATTAACCTGCCCTCCAGTAATGTCAGCGGCTTTTGCTTCCACCACTGCTCCAGCCAGCATGCCTGTGTGCTCCAGTGCCAATGGAGGGGGATGTGCCATCATCAGCCTGTCAGCACTTGGGCACATATGTTGCATCCATGCTGTGAATCAGTTTTATATGGCAGAAAAAGGTGTTTGTTAGGAGTGATTAGGTCTGAGTTTGAGATTGAGGCTTGGGAGGGTGGATTTTCATGCATGGTAACTGTGGCTACAGGCACAAAGCAAGCCAGGTTATGTAGAGACTCTGATTCATTTCAGAATTGCACTGCAGCTGTCAAAACTCAAACCAATCTGGGATTACAATGACGTAATCAAGTGTGTGGAGATATTGGTGGCAATTTACCCATTCTGCTATATTTGCCAGAAGTAAAAAAATGTCATATTCTTGATGAGACAAGATCTGTTTTAGAACGATGAATAATTGCTTCCTCATCTCTTTCCTTCCTTTGCATGCTTCACACCCTCCTCCGTCAAAATATGCATTTCAAAAAGAACATCAGCTAATCACATTCTGAAGTGATCAGAGGTACAGAATGCCCAGAACTTAAACATTGTTTTTATTTTTTATTTTTATTTATTTATGTATTTATTTATTTTGGAAAATAATCAGAATAATCTAGCAGTTGTGGGCAACTGTACCATGTTTTCCCGAAAATAAGACAGGGTCTTATATTCGTTTTTGCTGAAAAAAACAAGCATTAGGGCTTATTTTCAGGGGATGTTTTATTTTTATGTACAACAATCTACATTTATTCAAATATAGTCATGCCATCTTCTTCTGGTTGTTGCACAATGGTGGAGGGCGGGGTTTCACTTAACTAGGGCTTACTTTTGGGGTAGGGCTTATATTACAAGCATCCTGAAAAATCATAGTAGGACTTACTTTCAGGTTAGGTCTTATTTTGGGGGAAATTGGGTAGATCCATAGCTGATTTTTGGTTTTCATTACGCAGTAGCCTGATCCTACATGACCATTGATGATAGATTATGGGAGTGGCATACCAGAAACATCAAGAGGGCTGGTGAAGTTTGAAATTTTGTATAAAAGTTGAAAAGATGGTGGAGGCAGTTCAAATGAATTGTAACCTGCACTATGTGAGATGCAATTAGAGATGGGCACAAATCACTGAATGGGCAATTTTTACTGGTTCGTCCTTCAGCCGAACAAGTGTTCAGTGCAGGGAAGCAGCGAACACATCTTTGGCCAAAGGACGAATGGCACGAACTGCCAGTTCAGTGGTCCATGCCCATCATAAAACGGAGGCTTGAACAACAGTACATTGCCTGTCAGAGGTTACTTCAGGGCAAACATCTATTCTTGCCATATGTAGAAAAGTGATTGGCTCTGCAAAGCTTGGAAAACACATTGGAATTCAATAGGGTTTGCAACTTTAATGGATCACATAGAAAATTAATATAGCTTTTCTACTATAGTGTTGTTGTTGTTGTTGTTATTGTGTGCCATCAAATCACCCTTGACTTATACTGACCTAATGAATGAGCAATCTCCAAAATGTCCTGTTTCCAACTGCCCTGCTCAGCTCTTGTAAACTCAAGCCAGTGGCTTCCTTTAGGGAATCAACCCATCTTGTATTTGGTATTTTTCCCCTGTTGACTCCAATCTTGCCCAGTATTTTTGTCTTTTATCAAGCCATCTTGTACAGTATTTGGTATTTTCCCCCTGTTGCCTCCAATCTTGCCCAGTATTTTTGTCTTTTCCAGAGAATCCTATCACCTCATGGTGTACTCAAAGTAGGACAACCTCAATTTCCACCTCAGAAGTTACTAGAGTGAGGCCTCTAGAAGAACCACTGTTTCTCCACTTTAATAGCAAAACCAGACTTCATGTTCTCAAAACAAACTTATCGACATTTTATTTCACAACACTAGCCAGCTCCATTGGAATTTCCATGTTTTCCTCACAAGTAGCCAATAAATGAGTTGGTATCTGTATTTGTTTACCTAAGTAAGTCAAAATATTCAGATTGTTGAAAGTACACATGTAGGATTGCCCTAAGCCAAGAAGAACAAAGCAGGCAGGAAACACAGCAGAAGCTGGAAACACAAGAGACAAGAGAATTACAGATTTTCCTCCTTAGAGTCAAACTAGCAAATGGCAATGGTTTGGATGAGAAAACCTCATACAGGTGCAGTCATTTAAAACTGGATTTATTGCTTGTCTTCTGTGTGGCAGTTTTTTCATATTAGTTGCTTTGGAATATATTCATTGTTTGGAGATGGATGTGCTATATTGTTTCTTTATACAATATTGTATTGTTAGTATTCTACATTGTTGTGGAATCTGTCAAGATACAGAGTGGGTTAAAACACTGAAACAAACAAACAATAGTGACGCATAATGTGTCACCATGACATGGATTAAACAAGGTCATGTACCTCACTGTGTGCTTGTTAAAATTAGGTGCTTGTTTTATCAAGATTTTTTTTTAAAGTAAGCATAGAAGGTTTTCTTTTTATTTTTTCCAAAGTATTTTAGAATGATATCAAAATGTTGTATCCCAGGCACAATGTACATTGTGTATCATATAAATAGGAAAAGGAGGTTTGGCTGCGTAAGAATTTCCTGAAACAATTTCAGATTTTCTCCCCCACATTTCTAAATAGAGATGGACTCATAGCTAGCTGCATTCACACGTGCGTGCGTGTGTGCGCACACACACACACAAACACATGGACAGCCTGAGCTTCTGGCACATCATGTGCTATGAATTCCCTTGCCTCATGAATCTGCCAGAAAGTTTCAGGCCCTCAGAGAATGATGCCTGCAACATGATTCCCTTCCTGCTTCCTCTTACCAATTACAAATTTGCCTCTGAGACTGTGGTGGAACTGAAGATTATTAGGCTTCTACTGAATGAAGATGCAAAGCCTTTTCACCAAAATGACTTTCAAGAGTTACTCCTCAGAAGGGCATTGTTTAAATATGAGCCTATAGTTTATCCTCGGTCTTAGGATCAAAAGAACAAAGACGTCAACTGAAGAATCTCATCTTCCTATATGACTGTTTTTGAATACCAGGAATTCTGAAATAACAGCCACATGAATTGTATTTCATGAGCTCATTTTCAGGCCTAGTAAACAGTAAATGTGGAGAGCCATGTTGTCTGAGATTTTAATTAATTAATTAATATGCCGCCCACACTACCCA